GAGATCTCTGCTGTCAAGATCAAGCTCAGCGCGATTTCGATCAGGTCACTCAGATTAGGCTATGTGGCGAGATGAGTTACACAAAGTGACAACACCGTTTTCACAACCAGATATGGGTTTTACTCATCTTATGCGGTAGACATAACCAGAATTCCTACGTTGTCGATCGGTCCAGATGACTCACTCATCTCATCCTATACGTTATTGTGAAAGGACTTTCGATCTCTCCCAAATCGCGAACTTTCCCTTTCGACGGAATGCCTTTTGTTGGAAAATAAACTTCTTTGACCATTCCTGTCGTCTCCTGATCTTTCGCTGCACTATCCCCATCTCTTTTTCAGCCATCGATTAGCTGTCCTTCTCTGATCACTCAGCATTCCACCACGATGACGACCGAAGGGCAGGGTGGTTCGAATTCTTCCACTGTCAGTTCCAGGAACGCCCGACGACGCCGCAAACGATTGGAACGAGCCAAGATGAATCAACCCTGCTGACCATCACAGTGACCAGTTTAGGAACCCTTTACTCTCAGGGAGATCATTCGCATGTGTGGGTGTGTGTCTACTCTACTTTATGGGTTTTTGTCGTGCTGATCTTCACTGAAATGGCATTTTTGTTTCCCCAAACCTCTTTATTTGGTTATTCCGCCGGACAACGTGTGTTTGTGTCGTCTTGCTTTCCTACGACTTTTCTGTTCACAAGCCAGGGATTCCTATGCACTGTACAATCTGGGGTCCTATTTCCCCCTAGGATCGATTATTTCGGACATGAGGGCACTCATTCTTCTCTTGCCTTGTCTTACGCGTTAGATTACTTTTAATCGTTCCCATGCCCCGGCCATACCAACCAGATTCCATTGATTGTTTCCAGCGCACACATTTTAGTGTGCTCCTGTCGTTCCTTCAACACGTGTGCTGGTGCACGACAACCTCGTGATCGAAAGCTGCACTATTTTTGAAAAAAAACCTTACCAATGACGTNAGGGCATAATGCGGTCCGGCGGTGTGACGCCGCTTCACCATCGTGATTCACATTTTCTTGCTGCTGTCTGTCGGAATCGTAGGTTCATGAAAGGGCATCTATCATCACAGACCTTTCATGAGCTTATATAGGTGGAGATTTCGTCCAAGTGGTAGGTAAATGGGTATATACAATTTCCCGTGACTGTTTTCTCGATAGAACGGTCCCATATGTCACTCGCCGTGAGCTGTTCTGAACTAAATCTAGCCCTGGACTGTACCGCTACCTGACCCCATGTAAGATTAAACGCTAAATCCACCAAAAGTGCACTAAAGATAGCAATCGCTGTACGACTCAGCTCAACTCCGGTCAGCATTATTTCCCTTTTGTTGCTCCCATTCGCCTTAACATCCACTGGTCACGTTCCCCTGTGGATATACATTGAGCAAGATAGGAAACATCATAGAAGACCACTGGAATGGTGACGAAGCTATTCATCAATCAGCCAATCATATCACGAGTTATCAATCTTCGTAGCATTGTTGATGACAAAACGTTTGCCGGCATATTGCCAAGCTGGGCGATCGAATCAACATCCATCTGATCCATGACTAAGGAGTCTCTTTCGAGTCTTTGTTGATTAGTCATCAAGTATTCAGCACAGCAGTCAGTTCGAACGAGGTTTATGCGGTCTATCGCTTGTTATCCAAAGCAAGTCCACTGTCAGTTTATCAGGAGTTCTTTCGTTACCGGGGTCAGTTTGAAATGTACTGTTTTTCGGAGATTGTGTGTTGACTTCTGGGGGAGCTATCCTTTTTGCCGACTTTGACGGTACGCGTTATGTGGTTCTCTCCCGCTCGCTCAGCACCAGGCAACTTCTGATATGTTTTAAATGAAGTGCTGCTTTCTCCTTACCGTCCTTCCTTTCGCGGTGAGATCTGGGCAGTAACTGTTCAGCAGCTGTTCAGCAACTGTTCAGCGCCGTAGACTCTGCCGTAGCTATACACGCTCAGCCGTTTGTGTACGTGTCTTCTCAATTTTCTGTTGTCCATTTCGCGAATGAGCGCCGTAAGAATCCATACCGAATTCAAAGAGGAAACCCGGCTACGTTGGGAAGATATTTCCAGTTGAGCTACTATTATTTAGTTCCTAAAAGAAAACTATATTCACTGTTCTTTTCGGCTGTTGATTCTACAATCTTCATTACACCATACCATCCCGTCTGAAAATAGGAGATGCTTTGTACCCGTGTTTTCTGTCGGAACTAACTCCCCTTGTAATGTTCTACAAACGGATCTGTGGTGTGGTTCACTTGTCACGATTGCATTCTAGGGAATGAGCACATACAGTGATTTCAACCGAGGCCGGGATCGATTTTCTCGCGTTATTCTGATTGATGTGTATATCCTTATTACGAACCGGTTCTCCAATTCTGTTTGCTAATAGGTTAGTGTAGCTAATTTGGCTATGGATGTAAGACGAATCGATATTCCAAAAAGGTGAGTGTGTCTAGCCAGTTGTTCGAGTGCGTATCGATACAAAGTTGTCTATGTGTTTCTTCAGTTTATGTATTGGGGGTGTAGAACACGCTTTTTCGTTCTGCTTGCCAATAATCTATTGATTAGCTGTTCCTTGTTGAACGCATGGTTTTCTCAAGATCACCTTGAAAGGCCACTATCGTTCCCACACTCATCTTGACTTCTAGTTACTTAGCTTGTCGTAGACTAGGTGCAAGTTTGAGCTGGCATGCATGGTTTTCTAAACGAGCAAATGATCAGTAGGTTGTTTGCCTCTTTCTTCCGGGAATTTGGTGATATACGTCTTCGCCACGATTTCTACCAGTCTCTAACCGGTCTCTCTACCGGTCTAACCAGCAACGTGCTTCTTTTCATCCTCCTGCGGACGCAAACATTGGTCCACGATGCTCTAAAATGGTTTGCTCCCAGTTACAGGTGGGAACAGCTCTCTGTCCTTCGTTCTGGCCACAACAGCATCTCCTCTGTCATGGACGCACACAAGGTTGTTTCCGTTGCACAAACGCAAGAAGAAAGTATGAATAAAAGTGGAGTGATGCGGTGAAGATGTCGTAAGAAAGGTACATATTGATTGGTGGTACGACGAACAGAGCTGCTAATTTGACCGAAGTGCATTACGAAACTGCGATACAGAAGAACAGAAATACAAAACCTGCCAGCCACCGTTCAGGTGCCACATCCGTGGCGTTTTTTCTTCCCAGCCGACTCATATTTTCCTGGGTCCTTACCCTTAACCTCATGTCTTGCTCGTGAATCCGGTAGGTATAAGTGAGTCTGTCACAGTTCGTCACTCCACTTGCCTTTGTGGTTTGAAGACATGACTCGTTCGGTTCCCATTGTTGTGCATTTTGGAAGAGATCTCTGCTGTCAAGATCAAGCTCAGCGCGATTTCGATCAGGTCACTCAGATTAGGCTATGTGGCGAGATGAGTTACACAAAGTGACAACACCGTTTTCACAACCAGATATGGGTTTTACTCATCTTATGCGGTAGACATAACCAGAATTCCTACGTTGTCGATCGGTCCAGATGACTCACTCATCTCATCCTATACGTTATTGTGAAAGGACTTTCGATCTCTCCCAAATCGCGAACTTTCCCTTTCGACGGAATGCCTTTTGTTGGAAAATAAACTTCTTTGACCATTCCTGTCGTCTCCTGATCTTTCGCTGCACTATCCTCATCTCTTTTTCAGCCATCGATTAGCTGTCCTTCTCTGATCACTCAGCATTCCACCACGATGACGACCGAAGGGCAGGGTGGTTCGAATTATTCCACTGTCAGTTCCAGGAACGCCCGACGACGCCGTAAACGATTGGAACGAGCCAAGATGAATCAACCCTGCTGACCATCACAGTGACCAGTTTAGGAACCCTTTACTCTCAGGGAGATCATTCGCATGTGTGGGTGTGTGTCTACTCTACTTTATGGGTTTTTGTCGTGCTGATCTTCACTGAAATGGCATTTTTGTTTCCCCAAACCTCTTTATTTGGTTATTCCGCCGGACAACGTGTGTTTGTGTCGTCTTGCTTTCCTACGACTTTTCTGTTCACAAGCCAGGGATTCCTATGCACTGTACAATCTGGGGTCCTATTTCCCCCTAGGATCGATTATTTCGGACATGAGGGCACTCATTCTTCTCTTGCCTTGTCTTACGCGTTAGATTACTTTTAATCGTTCCCATGCCCCGGCCATACCAACCAGATTCCATTGATTGTTTCCAGCGCACACATTTTAGTGTGCTCCTGTCGTTCCTTCAACACGTGTGCTGGTGCACGACAACCTCGTGATCGAAAGCTGCACTATTTTTGAAAAAAAACTTACCCATGACGTACTTCTGCATTTACTTATCGAAGCTTTGGTTATAGTAAGCATAGAACACCTCCGTTTGATGGTTTTCTTCAAATGGACACCGTTTCAACCAGACAACAGCTTCCCATGCTCGGTGATTCATGGCACTTCTGCCTACTCATGGAATATCAGTAGGCTGTTCGCACGAATTTCCGCCGTATGCACCTATCGGATGTACTTTTGAACTGCTACGCATACCATACATTAGATATAAGTTAATAGACAATCTTGGAGGTAATCGTAACACTTCGATAAGTTGAAATCAGGTACTCAGCTCACAACGAAGTTCGATTCATGATGCTCTGATTAGCTCTGAAAGAAATTGAGCGAACATACTTGCCTCGACCGCTTCAACTTACTGCACTTCTTAGTGGCGTTCGTTGTTCCATAACACACTCCTGGCCGATATACTTACAAACGTTATTGAGTGAAACAGCGCGTTTGCAGAAGCCGCCGTGTGATTTTGATTTGCTGCGTAGAGAAAGCTGTGAAAACAAACAGGTAGGTCTCACCTGAACTGGTCTGATTGACCAAGAAGGACTCACTTTCACAACGTTTTTTGGTCTGCAACTATGTGTCTTCCAATGAGTACAGCTAAACGCTTGGACTTAGGGTCTATCAAGCCGGTGCGTTTCGGGAACTCACCGCCACCTTTCATTGCTTTAGAAGGACCACAGAAACCGGACGGGTGCCGTCAATGTCACACTCCGCAAAATGTATTGCAATCCACCCGGATGTCGCGTTATCTTCGCAGTTCGGATCCTCTCGTGGGTACTTCTCTGACAACCGTGGTAGAATAGGAACGACCATTAACAGGATTTCATAGCGCTAAGATAGGAGAGATACCACGAACAGAAGGTTGCTTAAAGTTTTGACAACCCACGAGTGGATTAGTTTTATTTGGGGCTCATCAGGTAGGCGCATTCCTTGAAGCGCCAACTCGGGATGGTGTGCAAGTAACAGAGTCCACTCGTTTGCCAGTTTATTTGGTGTTAACAAAAAAACTGTTGAATTCGATCTGAATCTCTCCTTCAACCGCAGGTGCTACTCAAAGGCCGCCTCGTGTTTCATTTAGCGCGATATTTATGATGACCAACTGTATTTCCTAGACACGTAATACTATTTTTAAATTTAAAAATAATCCCTCGGCAACCCACTGTCGCTTCCAGCCTTCCTGGGGATCGTGGTGACTCCGTCAACAAAGTTTTCCGTTCACTCATCAAAACACTTATTTTGTTAGGGAAAATTTATTCCTATTTATTGACACACGGTCTTCCTGGACGCCATTTTGAATCCTTCGTTCACCGTTCAAATTCGGCTGAATGCATTCAGTTAGGCTCCTAGTTAGTTCTTCAGTAGCTTTTGCCAGGCAGCCGTTTGCAGCGCATCAATTGTTTGTCCGCTTTGGTGCTTAAAATATACTGTTCGACAGATCTTGAACCGAATCAGAATGATGTTTCAGGTTCTGCATTATCCCGTATCCTTACAGGACCCATGAGGTAGGTGTCGTCTCCGGGCCTTCATCAATCTTCAATGAGTCTTCGGGAGGTTGGAAACAGTGGTGGGCTGTCTAGAAGTTTTTGGCATCTTTATTACTATTGTTATGTCGAGAAACTAAGTACTCCGACGTTCAGTTGAGAAATACCGTGAAAGTGATTCAGATGGGATTCCGTTGAGTCCAGTGGACATCAACCTAATTTGCATGAGATCGCATTTCGGCGTGGACCGAGGATTCTCTTCTGCGAATCCTCCAAGGTTTTTGTTACACCCCAAAGATTGCATTTGGAATTTCATTTTTCGTAGAAAAAAGCGTTCAGCTGTAGCACCCTTCCGGTTCCTAGCTGCCATGTCACCCGAAGAACGCACGAGGGCTAGGATACGGGCAGGTTGCCCATCCTAGACAGGGGAAGTCGAGAGGCGGAGGTTGGATTCGAACCACGCACCTCCCGCTCAGTAAATTC